CACAATATGAGGAGTGTCGTCCGCTATTCTACAAAGCGTTTTCTGTGTCTTTCCGTGAAGAGGAAAGCCTATTTTCTGACTTTCCCTGAAATGGAAACGAAAGCGTTCCACGTTTGACTTCGCTTCGTGAGGTACGTGGATTGAATCCCCTGTCTGGTTTTGTTATTCTGTTCAGTACCTAGAAGTCAGGATAAAAAAAAACATTATCTACCTCAGGTTTCCTGGGATTTTGGACTTTGTCTATTGTCCGGTATTCTAAAAAACTAGAAAATATTACGTTTCGGAAACTGTTGCGTCCCTTCGACATAGACCTCTCTGAGGTATTGAAACAGCTGTAGTGAATATGACATTAGTTGTTCAGTGATTGAGGTTAGCTTTTTCTGTGGGACCAATCAGAGTAGGTGTTTTCCCCTTCACCTGAGGATGGAAACAGATCAACTTTTCGGAGCGTTGTGTTTGCTATTTCCTAGAATGTCGCACAATGTAAACCCAGTAATTCTAAGTGTTATACATCTTTCTAAAACCCCTTTAAAATCAATTACCCTTCTCAAATTTGTCGGTTCTACTTGTGAAGAAGAGAGAGAGACCTTTCACCAATAAAATCTTGAAAAAAGCCATACCCGTTGCCTTCGATACCCTTTCCATTAAATCAGTTCTTTACAACCAGTGCGGTTTCAAAAGCATTGTCAGTCCTCAGGAAACCAACAATCGATAAAATGAAAAGTTTCAGATACAAATCTCCAATGGCGTATCGGAGGAAAAGTTTGAGTTCCACTGAATCGTTACGAACTTGAAAAACTGCACATTGTACAGAGCATGCTCACGCTCTGATCCTTTAATTATAAACTGTAACTAATCAAGTTAATTCAAGGAAAATTTATTTCTATTCTGATGCTTGATTTTCGAATGACGCACCAGATATGCTTATAGTATTTCCTTAATTTTCATTATTCCTCACAGGGAAAGGGCACGCGGTAGCTGAGACACTATGCTACTAGTCGGAATGTCCCGGGTTCAAATCCCAATGAGGTCTTTGGATTTTTTTCAATTGATTTAATCCTTCCGGCCCTGGGGTCGACTCAACCTATAACAGAAATGACTACCAGGAATTAATTAAATAATTTCCCTGGGGAGTAAAGCGAGGCCGGCGCGTAGGGCTAATAACCTCACCGCCATCTTTGAGCCGATTGTCTAGATAATGTGGGACCCTCAACATCTCACAACCCTATGGGCCTTCACGGTCTGTTACAGGGATAGCTTTACTTTTTTTTATATCTCCCATGGAAATTCAGAGAGAGCACCTTCATGTGGATAACAAGCGCGTCATCCTCTCATGTCGTTCAGAAAATCTCAGGTTGAGTATGAGATTTGGGTCTCGGCATTTTTTGCGACCACTCAAATAGACGGAGTATAGTGTTAACTTTCCTGTTTTCCAGCTGATTTCCAAGATATTGCTTCTAGGCCACTGCTGCCTCCTTTCTTATCCTCACCTGCTCATCATTCATGAATATATTCCGTTCTAACTTGTTGTAAATGTTGTAAATATCCTAAGAAAAATCGAGAACCTCTTGCCCTGACACGTGCAGCTAATTAACCTAGTTCATATAGAGGCGCTACGAACCAACCACACGCAACACGAAATTTGTTTTCGAGCCTTTGTATTCCACGTTCAGAGTTCAACCGTTACTTACAGCTGCAATGCTGTACTGACATTTTAATGCAACTTTACTTGAAAGTAACACTGATATGGGTTGTAAGGCAAGAACCGTTATGCTTTCTTATCTCGTTACCTACATGTTTTCACTTCTTATAAAAATATTCAGTAGACTGATCAATTCGGCCTAGATGTTGTCGGTAAGGTCTCAGTTCGAGTCCCGGCGGGGTAACTGGATATCCTGACTGAGTTTTACGTTGCTTTTCTCAGTCTTTCTAACAAATTACGAGACAGTACTTCGATCAGGGCTCGAATGCTTCGTTTTAAATCTTTTCTAATTTGTCAGTGATCCCGTTATGAGACGCTACATGAGCCTCCATATTGGAATAATCCTCACATAACCTACGGAAGTAACTGTGCGCAAGCGCGAGTCTGTCAGACTGTCGTTCTGTAATTCCTCTTAGTACTTTCAACTGAAAGGAAGGGGCACTATTACAAAAGAACTGCAAGATAGACTCTTGTCTCTGTTTCAAAAGCAAAGATTATGAAGTGTGGAGTTAGTTCTTCTGTCAATTACTCGTGGAGCTGAGCCCTTCTTGAGGAGAAGTCAAATCTGCAGCTACTCAAGAACTTCCCAGCACCCTATGGAACCCAAAAGTTCATGACCGTGTTCACTGGTCCCGATTCTGAGCCACATCAATCCAATCCACACCATCCCATCCTATCTCTCCAAGATCCATTTTAATATTGTCCACCCACCTACGCCTTGATCTTCCCAGTGGTCTCTTTCCTTCTGGCTTTCCCACCAATATCCTATATTCATTCCTCGTTTTCTACATTCCTGCTACACGCCCCGCCCATCTCATCCTCCATGACTTGATAATTCTAATTATACTTGTGGAAGAGTGTGCAGTGTGGAGTAGGACAGCAAAATGATCATGACTGATGACTGATGACTGACTTGTAAGGAAGCGGTAGCGACCTGCTTCCGGTTCTGCCCTGCTTATACCGCGGAAAGACTGAAAAATCGCATCTGAAGAACGGGTAGCCCAGCCGAGATTAGAACTAGGTACCGGTACTTTCTGAACGCAATTTACAACTACATTATCTTGTTCCATCTCCCAAGGTTATATGGAATTACATTTTCCAAGGTATCCGGTGTCTCCAGGAGAGACTCGAACAAAGCTCGTCTCGAATACAAATCTAGAGCTTCATTTCTAGAGGAACCTGTTCGGCTGTGTACATTAAATCTCCACTGCGCTCATCTTCGTTCCCTTTCACGAACTCTTCGCTGCAGGTTTCCCATGATGCTATGCAAATCCAGTAGATTTAGTTCGTTTCAAAAGGACGAGTCCTAGTATTTTCGTTGCAACTCCTCCGCCGAACCAATTACGTTCCACCATCAAAATTTCGTACACAAAACTTATTTCTGTCTTCCTACCTATATGTTCAGCCCATGGTTTGATACGTGATTTTGACAAAATCAACCGAACAACACAGGAAAGGGCCGAGTTCCGTAGAGCAGCACAATCTACCGGCAGCATTCGCTTAAAAATATTGCGTTCAAAGTAAAGCCGGGTTCGCTGAAGCATCGACGTGAGATGGTCGTCAGTTTTATAAATGAAGACTGCATCATAAAATTGTCCATGAAACTAAGGAAACTGAATCACACAAAAGAAGGACCATTCTCATGTAAGCAGTTTACCGTAACAAATTATTTACGTTTTGTGAGGCATAGATAATCGCTTCCGGTAAACAAGTTGTTACACATAACAAGTTTACATGATGTAAAATGTAGACGGCTAATTCCGCTGAATGTAAGAATATGTACACTTTACTGTAAACTATATCAAACTTAAAATTCCCAAAAAAAATATTTCAGAAAAGGAAAAAGAATCTATAAAAATTAATAAAGTCTGGATAAATACGGCGGTAAATTATTATATTATACTTGAATTTAATAAGACTTCTAAAAATCGTATTTCATTAAACTTCGCTGCCTGAGACCAAGGAGAACATTTGGGCGCAGCAAAGAAAAAGTATTCAGAGATTTAAGAGTATGTGTACTAAGGATCTTCATAGATTGTTATCTTCATCATGTATTATTAGACTGACATTAGAAATGCATATAATTTGAATTTGGAAACGTGAACTGAAGAGACCAAGCTGGAGAACGAGATACAGATCTGGGGATAATTTTGGAATAGATCTTAGAGTAAACCGTTATGAATGGGCGAACTGGATATGCCTGGCTGATGACTGGGACAGGTAACGAGGTTCTGTGAATACGAGAAGCCCAATAATAAACCTTCGCAGTTATTAAGAGGTGGGGAAATTCTTGAGCTGGCTGACTGAATATTGGCTTCTCAGGAAGGACTTCTTGCCGTAAAGCAAAGATAATAAGAGAAATATTTGCTTCAACTAATATTAATTTTTTTTTAATTCGCTTAGTGGGCGGTGGAGTCCAACTGGGTCCACTCGGCACGGCGGTCACTGATTGGCCTATTGTAGCCTGCCTCCGGGTGCTTATGATGACGGAGAATTTGGTGCAATAAAGATTGGCAGGGGAAACCGAAGTACTCGAAGAAAATCCGTCTCAGCGTCACTTTGTCCACCACAAATTCCACTTGACCAGACCCGGGATCGAACCCGGGCCGCCATGGTGGGAAGCCAGCGACTAACCGCTTGAGTTATGGTGCTTCAACTAATATTCTAAAACTACTGAAACTTCATAATGAGAGTCAGAGAACAAATTAATTTACACCAGGGCTATTATTGGTATAGATACAGTGCACGCAGTATACGAAGTTTACTATACAAACCTAACGATTCATAATATTAAAGTCACACTGTCCACCCCTCCCCAGATAATTACGATTCAGCTGTAACGAGAAACAAGTACATCCGAATCCGCGGCATTAGCAAGGCAAACGTCACTTCACTCCGTCACCAGCCAAGTTCCAGCCCCACACTTAAAGGCCGATGATGGAATTAAGTGTTACAACTCTGGAGTTTCATAGGGCACTTCACCAGTCTGAGCCCTTCTTGGGCTTGCCTCATATGTTACAAATTACTTCTAAGATGTAAGATTTGAGGCTTTCACGGCGGTGACTATGAAGAAAGCAGTCTTCTGGGATTTGGCACCGTGTATATGTGGTGTTAACCGACGTTTCGGAGGAACGTATCGCCCCCATCTTCAGGGTTGAAGAAAAAGTNAGATAATCGAGCAATTATATGGACAGTAAAAATAAAGATTCATAATCATTTAATTGGATAATAACTGTTTTTATTATGATGACACATGCTAATGAGAGTAATGATGCTCTGCAGGCAAACTGGCACTTACTTGTTGAAATGAAGGCCAGGATAAGAGAAATTAACTCCACTGTCTTCCGTGAATACTTCATTGTTGACTGGTTAATCTTCTGTTTCTTATTATTTAATATTGTTTAGGAAGTGTTTGACGTTCCCTTGGTGCTATACAGTTTGAGTTAATGAAAAAGTCGTTAAATAAACAGCATATATAAATGAAACATCGATGTACTCAGTTATAATCTGAGATCGAATGATGGTCTTCTTTCTTTTCAAAACACTCAGATCCACTTAAACGGAAGAAAACACACGAAAATCACAAAACACAAATTATCCAACAATGAATCATCTACTTTCTTTGAGTTACGATGCAAAGAAGTGACGATCAATCGCAAAACATGGGTTGATATTAGGATCTTGCAGTTCTTACAGGGGGTAGAAACATTCGTACATACTTTCTAATATTTCGTTAAGTTTTAAAGTTAATAATAAAATAAATTTTCTTGGAATACGTTTAACAAAACTTAAATTATATTCTTTTAAAATAAATTAAGACATGTTCGTGTTTTTTCTCTTTCGTTTGGGCTCTCTTTTCATTAAAACGAGTTTCTGTTGAACAGCACAAACTGGCTTTGAATAAAATCACGAAAGATTAAGCGAGTTGCAACATTTCAACTGAAGGGTGAGTCAAGTATTATTCTACCTTTGAATAAAAGCACCAGTTTCACGAATATACTCGTTTGTTTTACTGTCGTCGCTCTCTCTCTCTCTCTTCTCACACGCTCACAGTGTGTCACATTTTTCTTTTTTTTCTGTGTGTGTGGAGTTAGCCACGGACAGGAATGAACTGAGCTGCGAGTATAAACAGAGGACACGCTCGCCACAAGAGGAGCAGCAGCAGCCGCCGCCTCTGTCCAGACTTGCGCAGTCGGGTGCGTTGAGCGCCAGCGCCCCCCTTGATACAAGCATTATATGTACTGGTGTTGAGAGAAGTGGACATTGACACTGGCCTGACGATTTTAAGGGAAAATAAACGTTTTCGGAAATTAGTAGTTCTGGTAGAGGCCTCTAAAGGCGAACTTAGAAGTAATCGGCGCAATGCAGCATAATTTAATGAAACATATAACAGGCCTTGATATCTTCACAGCTGTTTTACTTAAGTTATGGCTGTATGACACTAGGTAGAAAATTAAAATAAAATGAGAGAGCATAGATTATTTTTAATTATGAATAGTACCTATATGTGCAAACTCGGGTCAATTCCATGTACCCGTGTCCAGTGTGTTGTAAAGTACTTTCAAAACCGCCCCGAAAAAAGAATACAGCTTATACTAAAGTAGGAGGATGGCTCAAGATGTTAGTCGCTGGCTTCCCATGGTGGCGGCCCGGGTTCGATCCCGGGTCTGGTCAAGTGGGATTTGTGGTGAACAAAGTGGTGCTTGGGTAGGTTTTCTCCGAGTACTTGGATTTCCCCTGCCAATCTTCATTCCACCAATTGCTCCACAATCACCCTCACCTATCATCTGGGGCTGGTACAATAGGCCAGAAGTCGCTGCAGTACAAGGGACTTAGTCCCACCCCACTAGCAATAAAATAAATTATACAGCATTTTTATAGAAGTCCTACTTACTTTCATCTCATCAGAACAGCTCCAGAAGAACTCAACATAGCCATTAGCTAAAAGCTCACCAACTGATATTTAACATACAGCCGACACAGGACTTAATTAATTAATTACACCATGTAACTAAGTATTTAATTAATTCGCATAGTGGAGGGTGGAGTCCAGTTGGGTCCTTTCGGCAAGGCAGCCACTGATTGGCCTATTGTAGCCTGCCCTGGGTGATTATGGTGAAGCAAAATTTGTTGCAATGAAGATTGGCAGAGGAAACGGAAGTACTCGGAGAAACCCTACCCCAGCGCCACTTTGTCCACCACAAATCCCACTTGACCAGACCCAGGTTTTAACCCAGGCCGCCGCGGTGGGAAGCCAGCGACTAACAGCTTGAGCTATGGCGCCGCCATGTAACTAAGTAACAATGTGGTTATAAAGTGAGACAGTATTCTCAAAAGCACTGGCTACCACGGCGCAGGAACTCACTGTGCTCCTACCTCAGCCCGGAGACCTGCTCTCCTGCGAAAGGGTGTTCATACTTCCACCACATCACTCTTCACCCTTTAAATACCAGCCTACTAAGCCAGTAAAGTGGTTATGTAAAAGTGAAGCTATCCCTGTACCGGCCGTGAAGGCCCATAGGGTTGTGAGACGTTGAGGGTCCCACATTACCTAGACAGTCGGCTCAAAGATGGCGGTAAGGTTGTCAGCCTTACGCGCCGGCCGCGCTTTACTCCCCAGTAAAATTATTTAATTAATTCCTGGTACTCATTTCTGTTAGAGGTTCAGTAAACCCCAGGGCCTAGTGCGGCTGGAAGTATTAGGTCAACTGAGAAAAAAATCCAATGACCTCATCGGGATTTGAACCCACGAGCTTCCGGCTTGTAGCGTAGCACCTCAACCACTACGCAGAGTGGTTATGGTAACAGATTTCTTTCATTCTTTAATATTTCCCGCCACTTCATAATTTGTCGCCATTATTAGCAGCGGACATTTGCATGTAACTGTTCAAAATGGCGTCTGCGTCAGATGAACTCACAGAGAAACGGTGTAGGCCTCATCGACACTTCTACAAATTCTGAACCCTCAATTTAACGCATACTGCGACTGTAAGGATTAAAATGGACTGCTTCCTTACACACCTTTCCCTAACTCAGCACCCTCAACATCCTCCTGTTTTATGCTGTTTAACTTAGGCAGTTGGAAAGCACCGCTATGAAGCGGATAATGACGAGGGAAAGTGCTTGTATTCATTTTAATGTCTGACATTACCGCGTATTGCTCTTGGCATAGCAGTTAATAAATCCATTTCAATGCAGCAAGCTCTATTTTGGTGACTTTATTAATGATGTATGCTTATAGTCATATAAGTACATTACTTAGCCAACTCATTATATATGGCACTAATGAGTACAGCAGCAACAAGTGCTGAGTTCATGCAGAGTGGAGTTCTCCTTTCGGTTCACTATGAGAATGTCTTTTAGTTTATATGTTTCCAGAAACAAGAATTACGCATGGACAAATGATGTCCATCTTAACTTATTTAATGAAGCTTTGTCATTCACATGACTTATATAGCTTCGAATATCTGAACTGTACAAATACAAACCACTCCATCCAATGTGACATATAAGTTTTTACTACGTTAAAACTTATCTCCCTTACATGTTTCGGTCCTTGCGGGCCGTCTTCAGAGGGAACATCATTACAAACTGGAAACTACCATCACAATAGGTGTTTTGATTTAAAATACATACACTTATATCCTATGAGTGAAAACAACACAGCAAGCCACGAACAAACCCTGGACGACATCAAGAACCTCCTCATCAAGATAGACAGGCGGCACAAAATCTGCCAAATACAAGAAGGACGATAGGAGTACGGACACGAACCTACGTGGTTTAAAAAAAAAATTAACTATTGACAATAAAGGTTTTTTAAATAACATCTAGAAACTTTTAAAAAAAGATAACGTGACAGATATTGTCGCTGTTTCTCATTGATCATAAACCGCTGTGTGCTGCAATGGTCCATATGTTCGGCTCTGTAGAGATCCCTGTTTTATACCATCTACGGAGAACACAAAATGGCTGACATTACTTTCACCTTCAAACGTTTCACTTGTAGCGTATAAACACGTTCAGATATGAAATGAAATGAATTATTCAACATGTAAAAGGCAGCACAGAACAAGGCAGGAACTGCGAAGTTGTGATATGCTAAAAAGAAGGAATGTTAATTAATTTTCTTCTCACTTATTTCCGGGGGATATGACGTATTAATCAACATGGCCGAGTAGACGTAACACGGAATAACGAACCCATTACGAAGTGCAGTGCTCTTTTATAACTTTAATTGACACGTTATTTAATTCCCCGTTTTAAATGTGAAAGCTTAGTAACTTCTGTAAGTCTCTTCATTTCCACATTAAAAGGCTAAATGTTATGTCTGTTTAATCTAATGTCAAGGACTAGGTAGAGTTCTCGTTTATAACAGCCACTTTTAATGAGTAGCGTCTTATAGAAATTAAAGTTTATCTCTTCGCACGAACATTTATTATTTAACATTGTTGTTATGTCTGTATAATCACTATATCCATGGAAACGTACATTTTACTTCGATAGAAAGCACAAATATCCTTAAATCCTATATATATACACGGATATGCATTAATTCATTAAGAATTTGAAGCAAAACGCACGGTTAAAACAGCGTTTCCAAGAGCGATGCCTCGTGTGTAATTTCATCAATGTAACCAACCTTATGGGGAAGGGTCCTTTCTGAGAAACCAGCAGTTGCACATCTAATCAAGAATTTTCTTTCCTTTCTTAAAACTGGAGAGTCAATGTCGTGTTCAAAAACTTTGCCATTAGTGTCATCCTGAAGATCATTAGAAAGAATGCGGAAGGAGGTCTTCATGTCATAATTTGAAGTATGAACTCGGCATTTGTTTACAATGATTGAGGAAAATCGCCAGAAATCTCGGTCACAGTACCTTATCTCTGTTGAGCAGACACAACCCGATATATCCAGCCTACGGAATGACAGTAATAGTACTTACTTACTTACTAAATTACTTACTTACTAATGGAGCTGAGCCCTTCTTGAGGAGCCGCCAATTCTGCAGCTACTCAAGAATTTCTCAGCATTTTATGGAACTCGAAGGTTCATTACCGTGTTCACAAGAGCCCTCCACTGGTCCGCATCCCGAGCTAGATCAATCCAATTCATACCATCCCATCCAATCTCTCTAAGTAAAAGTAATTACCATTATAAAGCGACGTTCGGACGCCCTTCTAAGCATCAGATACTTGAAGCTGCAGCAGAAATTTGAAATAAAACTATTTTTATCTTATTTCAAACGAGAATTTTAATGAGAAGTTATTAAATCGCTGTATTACTGCTCGTTTGTTCTAGTGTACTCGTACAAGACGAGCGCTGAATCCAGATTCGAAAGTTATGTTTAATGGAACCAAGTGTAATGTTCCCACTGCCATTTTGGAAATACTAACAGCAGACCGGAAGTGACGGCGGGGCATCAGCTCTTAAGAGACAGAGACTCCGATTATCTCGAATCGAATTTCACACAATAAGCTGCGTCTATATGCATAGAGTCGACACATACGAGTATATGTGGTTGAGAATCTAGTTAAACGGAAGTCTGACCAGTTCTGCAGGACGAATGAAACAACGATAAAACCATGCACTTAGTGATATCAGCCCTACTTCGCACTGCAAGAGAAGGCAGTGCATATAAATACACGGAATATATTGTGTGGAAATTTTAGACTCAAATTCTCTGTTAGCAGACTTGCAGATTCGTTGTTACTCGGTTCCATTTAGAGGCAGTTTACATTCTGAGACAGGAGACATAATTTTCTCTTTGAAATATTTCATGTTTACCAGGCGAATATTATACAGAGAGCGCATCTTAAACCTGACAAATATTTTTCACTCCTCATCCTTGAGAGGCATCCTCCACTACTCGACAACCTGTGAAATACCTAATTTTTGAAAATATCTTAACTAAACCTGGATCAAACAGAAGTTCATGGCAAATATGCAGCTCAGTTGGTCTCACATAAGGGGTCATTTACTTTTCTTTGTTTATTCTCAGTTCATTTAATAACGTTTACAATTTTTAATACTGTAAATTCCGAACGATGCCGGTCACGGTAGCCGAGCGGCCTAAGGCATGTACT